CACTTCGACAGAGACAGGAAAAGGTGTGTGTGAGACGGAGGGATCGGATTTGCTGGGAACCAAGGCGTGTCCTTCAATGGAACCCCCCCCCCCATCACGCCAGTGGGGGCGGATTCCCCCTGGATCTTGCTCACAAATGGCCCCCATGATCCAGAAGGCTCGATTAACCTTTGTATCCTTGGCCACAATCCCAGTCCAGCCCCTTTCCTACCCCCCCACCCCCCACATGGGTCTGGGGCTGAGAGGGAGGGACAGGCCCAAAGCCCACCGTCAACTCATAAAATATTTCTATGGTCTTTTTAGAGTTGCCAACAGAAAGGGAGGGGGGAAAGGAGTTTGAAAGAGCAGTGCGGCAGCTTGCAAACCGAAAGTGCATTCCATGAATGTTTTCAAAGATAGTGACTAGGTGACTGAAGTTTCTGGCCCGCAAAATTCTAACTGGAGAGCACGATTGATGACTCTGGGCTATGGAGGTGTCCCATTGGAGAATATGAATTATGATACACCCAGAGGGTGGGGGGGAAACCAGGGTCAAGGGTGACAAATGATTGATGTGTCTCAGAGTCGGCTCCACCCAGGCGGTGCCGGACATGTTAACTCCCAATAAATCCTTTTGAAGTTTTGGAAGTTTGGCTCGAGGCTCGTGATTTAAATGGGGGTAACAGCCAGAATCCTGACACCCACCAGGAAACATCTGGATGCCTCAAGAGGACTTTGTGGATAATCGCCCAGTTTCCAGCTCAGCTCTTAGGGCCAGATCAGGCCGTTCTCAACTTATAACCATTCATTTAGTGACCGTTCAAAGTTACAACAGCCCTGAAAAAGGTGACACGGGAAGAGTTTTCAGAGTTACAACCGTTGCAGCATCCCCGTGCTCACAGAAATCAAAATTCGGACTCTTTGTTTTGACGGTTCTCAATGCCCTGTGACCTTCTGACAAGCAAAGTCGAAGGGATTCGCTTAACGACCGTGTTACTAATTTAATAACTCCAATGACTAGAACAGAACACGGTTGGAAGGGACCTTGGAGGTCTTCTAGTCCAACCCCCTGCTCAGGCAGGAAACCCTGTAGCATTTCAGACAAATGGTTGTCCAATCTCTTCTTTAAAACTTCCAGTGTTGGGAGCATTCACAACTTCTGGAGGCAAAGTTGTTCCACGATTAATTGTTCTGACAGGAATTTTCTCCTAAGTTCTAGCTTGCTTCTCTCCTTGATTCATTTCCATCAGTTGCTTCCCTTAATTAAGGATTCACTTAACCACCGCAGCAAGGAAGGTGGCAAAATGGTCCAAAATTTCAGTGTTATCTTGCTTAGCCACAGAAATTTTGGGCTCCATTGTGGCCTCCTGTTGAGGACTACCTGTACCCCAAACTGGCTTCTGGGTGCAGTTTTACCAGTTCACCCCTCCTGCAGACCCAGGGCTAGAACCAAACGTTTAAATTACCCCCCACCCCAACACTAAATAAAATAAAGTAAAAATAAAGATCATTTTGCTTTGGGTTGGGCACTTGGTCATCTTGTTTTAAGGGCATTATTATAGCCAAAGGAAACTTCTGGCCGGAGACGCTGCAGACCAAGGCCGGCCCTGTTTAGGAGACCTGGTGGCCCAAAGGTCTCCTCTTGCACTCCAGTACCTAAAAATAGAGAGTCTCACTCCATCTGGAGATGTTCCAACCCGTGTCCTTTTTTTAAGACTGTCCCCCTTGGCCGGAAAGGGGAAGTCGGCCAGGAGTCCTCAAGCCTCCCGATTTCCTAATTCTGACCTTGTCTCCAGATCTGTGGGGCTGGGAGCTCCACGGTGCATAAACCAAAGGGGCCGTGTTTATGCCCCACAACTCCCCCCCCACACACCATAGCCTTGGACCCACTCGAACCGCATCTAAGCGGCGGGGGGTGGGGGGAGGATTGTGGATCGAAAAGGAGACTTGTGACGGGCGGCCAAGATGCGACGGCTTCACCCAGGAGGCCTCTGAAGGTCACAGACGAGAGCGGAGGTTCTGGTCTCTCACTGTTTGGTGGAAGCAAATTGGGGAGAAACTGGAGAAAAACAGAGTGAGAAAGCGGCCCAATTGCGGTGGTTTTACGCTCCTCTTAGGAGACCAATGTGTGGCTACCTTGACGGAAAGAGGAGAAAGGAAAGGATGGGAGAAAGAGGTCAGAAGTAGAGGTTCTCCCGCTAGAGCAGGGGGCTGGACTAGAAGACCTCCAAGGTCCCTTCCAGCTCTATTCTGATCTAACGGATTCAAGTTTGGATGATTTAGAACAATTAATAACAGTGAGAACAATTAACCAGGGGAACAACTGGCCTCCAGAAGGTGTAAATGCTCCAAGACTGGAAGTTTTTAAGAGGAGATTGGACAACCATTTGTCTGAAGCGGTGTAGGGTTTCTTGCCTAAGCAGGGGTGGGGTTGGACTAGAAGACCTCCCGGGTCCCTTCCAATGCTGTTATTCTAAAAGAACAAAAAACTTTTCAGGCGATTGAGAGAATGTTCACCCAAACCGGAGCACCCAAAGTCACCTGGTGAGGGAGGCTTGGAGACTAGGTCTCCCTGCGCCTAGTCCGGTCCCTGTGCTAGAACTCCCGCCTGCTTCTGGAAAGGGAGGATGAGGGGGAGACCCTGGTTGGAAGCCATGTGGGGGCCACGCTGCCCTGCCGACTCCAAGCCAGAAACCCTCAGAGGTGGGTCTGCCTGAAGAAGGCCGCTCAGCTCTAGGGGCAGCCGGGAAAGCCAACTCAAAATGCAGGCAGTCCTTGACCTTCAATGGTTCATTTAGCGACCATTCGATGTTACAACAGCACTTGACTTATGACCATTTTTTGCACCTAGGTTCACGTGATCCAAATTCAGACTCTTGGCAACTGGCTCCTATTTATGACGGTGGCAGCGTCCCCAGGGTCACGCGATCCCCTTTTGCGTCCTTCTGACAAGTCAATGGGGAAAGCCAGATTCACTTAACAACCGTGCCCCTAACTTTTAAGTACAGGGATTCAGTTAACGACAGCGGCAAGAAAGGTTGCCAAATGGGGCCAAGCTCACTTTTAGGAGCCATCTTCCTGAGCAACAGAAATGGTGGGTTCCATTGTGCTGCTACACCAAGAACTATCTGATTTAAGACCAAGAGGATGAGACTTTATTGGCCAGGAGCAGCATTTTCCTTTTCAGGGGTGGGGAGGGAAATAAAAATAAAGAGAGAAGGCAGAGCTGGCAAGCGCCAAAAAGCCTTGCGGGATTCAGAGCATCGTTCGTAGACGCTGACGGAGGTTGAATCCCAAACCAAACCATTCCCGGGATAAGTCCTGAGCAACATTCACCTTTTTGTCCTCCAGTATTACGGAATGTTCTTTTTTTTGGTTTGGTTTGTTCTTGTTTTTGCAGTAGACAGGAAAAAAACCAGACTAGGGAAAAGTTAGCCATTTGCCTCAGTAAATTATAACTATCAATATTTTCATTAATTTAAAAAACAACAACAACCTATTGAATAGAATTCTTTATTGGTCAAGTGTCATTGGACACCCAAGGAATTTTTCTTTGGTGCAGAAGCTCTCAGTGTACATAAAAGAAAAAATAAAACACATTCATCAAGGATCATAAGATATAACACTTAGTGACAGTCACAGGATACTAATAAGCAATCAAAATTGGAGGCTAGTGAAGGAAGTCATTTCACAAACTGAGTCTTTGACTCAGAGGCTCAGAAAAGACACACCTGAAGAATAGCTTTCAGCAGGTGGGTCTCCCAAAAGGAGGAGGAAGTGCCTTAGCAGACTCGATTACAGATTACAGGACCCGTTTTTGAGGTGTCCGGCTAGCAAAATGCACCCCTTTGCCCTACGATTTCCCTCCAACCCTTTGTATCATGGGAGCTGTTGTTCAGGGATAAGACAACATTTATGCTTTCTATTTTCAGGTTTTACAGAAAATGGAAGAGGAGAGAAGGGAAAGGAAGGGAAAGAGAAAGCAAGCATAAACCCCAGGGATCTTCACTCAGGTTAAAATTTTACACTTGGAATAGTTTCTTACCCTCTTTAGTTTTTTTCCTTTGTTAGATGTAAAAACAACAAATCTTTCAGGAAAACAAACCACAATATATATATTACATCCATTTGGCAGCTGTTCCCATATGTTTGCAAAAACATTTTTTTTTCTAAATGTACAAATTTTAATACTTGAAGTTTAAGTTCAGACTCTGGTATAGAAAATTCTTGCAAGGACAAAAGTACGCTTCAGAGGGGAGACTGGATGTAGTACGTATTTTACAGTTTTTAAAAGAATTGACATTTTTCCAACCAAGGAAGAAGATTCGTATTTATATTTTATATTTATGTATTTATTTACACACACACCCATACATATATATGCACAGTAATTTTAAAGCAACATTCACCTTTTTGTCCTCTAGTTTGGGGGGGGGGGGTTGAGCTGCTGATCCAGTTCTACAGAGGAATGATGGAGTCTGTCACTTGCACCTCTATAACTGTCTGGTTTGGCTCTGCAACCCAACAAGACAGACACAGATTTCAGAGGATAATTACGACTGCAGAAAAAAATAAAAAAACCAGAATAGGGAAAAGTTAACAATTTTCCTCAGTAATTTATAACTATTTTCATTAATTAAAAAGCAAAACAAAACCAATTGGAGGCTAGTGAAGGAAGTCAGTTGGTCAGTAGCCAAAAAACTATCACCTCCCCAAAGCATGAGAAGGGGGGGAAAAAACCCAACAACCAAAGGACTGGTTGATTTAAATCACGACCTGCTGTTGACCCATTCACTTTAATGGGACAGCTGGTGATGTGGCAGGGACACAAGGTGAGGTATGTCACAGGCAGCAGGAATCTTTAATGTTATGTGCAAACGAAATGAAGGTTTCTTATTTAGCTTGCAGTTTGGATTCATTGAAGTTTACAAAAAAATGTAAATATTGCAGCCTCATGCGACATAACTAAGCTCCATTTCATGCTGAATAAATTAATTATTAATGTATCTTAAAAACTACCTTTAGAAAATTTTTACTACAAAAGCATTTTATTAAATCTGATAGAAATTTTAAAAAATCAAAATGAAATCAAAAATCTAATTTAAAAAAAAAAATCATCGGTTTTTATCCGCCCTGCTGGTTAGTCCCAGCCATAACAAAAATATATTTTTTTATTGTTTTCCATTGTCCCCCATTTCAGGTTTCTTTAGAAACGAACTACTTTTGAAGGCAACCCTTGCTGTTGCTCTACACTATGGCTTCACCCTCCTGCGGGGGCTTTCATCCTCCTCCGGAGGATCTGGGCCTGTCGTAGGCGATGCTGAAGCTCTTGCTGACGAAGTTTACGTTTGATATTTAGGCAAAGTGGCACTAGGCACTTGTTCTCCTGGCAGTGCTTAGCATGGTAGCAGCAAAGAGCAACGAGTTGTTTGCAAACTGGACACCCTCCACTGATTTTGCGCTTGCAGCGTTTTGTGTGCTGGACAACTTTCTTCATTTTTTGACAAGATGGCACTGAACAGTTGGCATTGCGACACTGGCAGGCATGAATTAAGGATTGGATGCAGCGCTGGATACTCAGGCGACGTGAGTCAGCAGGACTCTGAATGGCGGCTGCCTGTTGGTTGTTGCTCCCATTATCCATACCGAGGCCCCGTTTCTCCATCTTGTGCTCATGGTCTTCAGTGTTATTGCGGGCAATGCCCAAGTCATCATCCTAAACACAGAAGTTATTATAGTTAGTAGCAGCAATATGGCATTAAAATGAAGTTGAGATACTTTATGAGACTGGCAAGATTATTATATGTGGGCCATTGATTCTATTTCACTTTAAGATGTGGGGACTCCAACTCTTAGTATTCCCCAGCTAGCATGGTAGCTGGAGAATTTTGAAAGTTGAAGTCCACATATCGTAAAAGTTGTCAAGTTTGAAAAACACTATTCTAGAATAATACTGAATTTATACAGCTCCATCCTGACCTTATTTCAATAAGCTCTCAAGTCCTGCCTCTTCTAGATTACTTGTGGAATGCTTTGCTTTTTGGGTGAGATTGCAGTAGTCTATACATTTTGTAAATGCACATGCAAGAAGTTACATTTTAAGTCTGATTACCCTGATCGATCTCAGTGTAGAGAATCTGGAGTAAAATAAGCCAAGGAACAAATAAAAGTTTGCTCGTATCCAACTTGTTTGCCCAATCAAAGAAAAGATGAACAAAGTGTAGATGTTTTAAAAAAATAATTAAAGACATTATCCTAAAGAGAGATCCTCTCCCTCCAAGCAATACAATTACACAATTTTCCACAGTGGCCTCCATCTTTTGCAACAACATTCCCGCTTCGATGAGATTGGTCCTGAACTAGCTGGCATTCCAGAAAGACCTGAAAACATGGTTTTGCTCTCTGGCCTGGGGATCAATAAAATTTGGCAATTGGCAACTGGTTTAAATTTTTGACCAATTGCAGGGTCTATTGGTTGGTCGTGGGATGATGATTTGCAACCCTTTTTTTCTGATTTCTGGCAAAAGCTGTTTAGAAGGTTTCACTTTCATTTTTACTGCTTGCCCTTCCTCCTCACCCTTAAGAGTCTGGTGGTACAGATGCATTTCTCTCCAAACAGTCATAGAGTTTGTAATCTACATAGATTTGCAAAACAATGGGATGAAGGAATATTCCTGAACTCTGTTTTATGGTTTATCTCATGACTACTGTGAAATTGTGTGAATGCATCAATGCAGTGCATGTTATCTCAGCTTGCAGAGCTTAGATTGAGCTTACCAAAAATGCATATATTGCAGAATATACAGCCTCATGCTACATAACTAAGCTCCATTTCATGCTGAATAAACTAAATTAATGTATCTTAAATAGAAAAGTATTTTTAGATAAATTTTTACTCCAAAAGCATTTTATGAAAATAAATTTGATAAAAAAAATAAAAATCTGATTTAAATAAAAACTTTTTTTAAAAAAATCAATTTTTATCCACCCATTTTGCATTCAATGCTTTGTGTCTTGAAAAGTAGCATTTTGAATTCAGTTTATTTTGAATATACAATGTTTTGCAAAATGCAAGGTTCAGGACACAAAGCCAATATATCTTCTCTCACATATTCTATTATTAGTGCTACTCTTAAGAACAGCCTTTGCTAATGATATTAAAAGATAAAGAAGAAAGAGAGTACTGTAAGATATGGAAAGTTTGGTATGAGTGGTTAGACACAACTCTGTCAATCGACAGCAAAAAGTGTTAATGTTGTATATATGTATGTGTGTGTGTGTGTGTGTGTGTCTGTCTGTCTGTCTATCTATGCAGGTCTTGGCGTGTTCGGGCCTTTTCCCGTGTAAGATTGAGAGCATCTTGCAACGTTTTGACAAGGTCCCACTCGCCATCTTCAGGCTGGTGCTTTTGGCTTC